TATTCTTTAAATATTTATTATATAATCATTTCTTTCTCTATATTCTTTATATTTATATATTTATTTAATTTTATATCTTCTATCTATATCATATGAATTTATTATTTATTATTTATTACAATTATATATTAGTCATATAATATTTATATTTGATTATATATTATCTTTTTCTCTTTTCTCTTCTTTTTTATATTATTTTATTTTTTATTTGAATATATTTGTTTTTGTATTTTTGTTATTTATTTTATTTCTTATTTTTTGTGTTTATTTTATTCTTATTTATCTTATTTATCATTTATATTATGTTATATTTGATTTTATTAATTATATCATTTAGTATTTTATTAATATAAATATTATGTTTATTATTTTATTATTTATTTATTTGTATTATTTATTTTATCTTTTCTTATTATTCTTTTATTATTTTATGTTTATTATATTTTATTTTTATATTTCTTTTTCTATGTATTTTTTATTATTTTTATTTATTATATATTTCTTTTATTCTTATTCTATTATTATTTATATTTTTTATTTATTTTATTTATTCGATTGTTTAATAAAAAATATATTCAATTTTATTATTTGTTTATTATTATTAATTATTTTTATTTATATATTGATTTGATTATTATATTTGTATTATATCATTTTTATATTTATTATTATTTATATTTTGTATTATTATTTATTTATTATTGTCATTTTTATTTTTATTTATCATTTTATATTATATTATTCATTATTTCATGAATTTAATATTTATTATGAAATCATTTATTAATCATTTCATTTAATAATGATATATTATTTAAATTATTTTGTTATATCACATTGATTATTCAATATTTAATGATATAATTTAATGATATAAGATTAAGATAATAGATATAAATAAAATGATAATATTGAAACAATCATTTAAAATCAAAAATAAATAATAAGAAATAAGAATATAATATAAAGAATAAAGAATAAAGAAAAGAAAGATAATAAAAGAAATAAATAATAAATAATAAATATAAATCAAATGATAATAATAAAAACAAATAATAAATAAATGATAAATAAATATTAATAATCAAAAATATATTAAATAATAAAAATTAAAATTAAATCAAATCAAAATAATCAAAACAAGAAATGAAAATAAGAATCAAATGAAAATAAAAAATTAATAAACAAAGAAATAAAGAAATAAAGAAGAATAATAAGAAAGAAAAGAAATATAAATAAACATAATAATAAATTAAAATAAAATAAGAAATGAAAACATAATAATAATGATAAATAATAAAAATATGAAAGAATAAATATAATAATAATATAAAATGATGATATTAAAGAAATTATTAAAATATAAAATAAAGATAAAAGAAAGCAATGAAATATAAAATAAATTCATTTTAATATAAATCATTTAAATAATTAAATAATAAAATTATTTTATAATATTGAAATATTTCATAAATATAATAAAAATGAACAAATAAAAGAATAGAGAAAAATAAATAAAAGAATGATAAATGATAAAATAAAATAATCAATATATTAAAAAGAAAAAAAGATAATAAATAATACATATAAATAAAAATTATAAAAATAAAAATGAATAAAATAATTTATATCAATAAAATAATGTTAAATAATTTGCATCAATAAATTAAACGCTTTTTTATTTCATATTTCTAATTTCTATAATAAAA